CCCCCATCCCCGCCTGTATGCCTGCCAGGCGATTTCTGCCCTTTTTTGAGAGGCTGTGAGAAGCAACCGTGACTGACCTGTTTGCTCCATAAATGTGCGGATGCCCAAGATGTTGCTGACCGAGTGCGCCGACGGCCAGGAGCGGGGAATGCTGACGTGGCCTGCGGAGCCAGGTACTCCCGGGTGACTGCCCATTTTGGTTCCCGTGGGCGACACGGGGCTGGGATAGGGATACTGGTAGATGTGGTTGTAGGGCAGCGCGGGCTGCGGCGGCGGTTGCTTGCTCGCCTCGTAAGGCCCGGTCTGCGCCAGACTGCCGATCTTGTTTCGCAGGATGCGGCTAATGGAACTCACCGAGGGCACGTTGTACTTGTCGCAAACGCCGTCGGCCAGCAGCCGGTCGCGGATCTCCCAGGCAAAGATGCCAGGGTCTCCTTGCTTGTAGTCCCGGATGTGCTTGACCACATTGGGGGTGGTAACTCGGGGTTTGCTGCCCCCGATGGCTCCGGGCAGGATGGAGCCGGTCTCATTGTAGCGCGCCAGGATCTTGCTCACGCAGCCGTGGGACACGCGCAGCTGCCGGCTGATGTCACAGGGTCGGATGCCTAGCTGAGCCAGTTCCACGATGCGTAAACGAATGGCGTTGGGCAGGGGGCGGCCGTTGACAAACACACCGCCCAACTGGTTCACCTCGCCGTACGTCTGCTCTGAGGACCGGCCCGGCGAGAGTGAAGAGGGCGGAGGAAAAAATCACCGACGGGTTAGCCAAGGGTGATCACGCTGGGGGAAGCGACCGCACCCAGGCGCGCGTCCAAAGGAGACCCGAGAATCCCCAGAAGGCACGGATTCCCAGACGGCTCAGATTCCGAGGGCAAACGGACTGGATCGCTCGGGAATGGGAGCAGCCCTAGGGAACGCGAAGAGGGGCACCGTGCTCTCCATCCCTCCTTGCCCTTTTGGCGCTTATCACTTGGGACACCCTCTCCCGGGCCATGCCGAACTGGACCCCGAACTTCGGGGACTTGCGGAGAATGCGGCTTGCCCGGTCTCGGATTGCGCAAGGAAAATGGGCAAAAGGGAAAGGAGATGCCAGGACTGGACCCACCTTGACAGCCCTCCCGCGCCCTGCCCGCTGCTCTCCCCTTACCCATGGCGCGCGAGCCAGCCGGCTGCCTGGCGCCGGGACGGCGGGGGCTGGGCCCAGCGCAGTCCGGGAAAGTTCGGGCGCCGAAGCCGCTGGAGAGGCATAGAGGGAGGGCGCGCGCGAGGCGAGAGCTGCGGCGGCCTGGGCGCGGGCTGGAGACGCGCCGCGCAACGCCGCCGAGCGCGTCGCCGCTCGCCCTCCTGCCTGCCCCAGCTGCTGCCGGTCGCTCCCAGGATATTCTCCACGCCCGCGACCCCAGGCTCAGAGTGAACTTCATCCGATTGAAAGAAATTCGTCTGACCGGGAAGCTGCAGAGTGCGGGAATCAATTTGACGTGTCCTCCACGTCAATCTCGGTAGTCACGCTGGAGACGCGCTAGTTGGCAGTTCATTGGTTCCCGTCACTGGGCCCGGGCGTCCCCCCCTGCTGTCCTGAAACCCTACCCCCTCCTGCCCTCCCACTTTGCCTTCCTCCACACCCCTCCGGAATTCTCCTCCCCCAGTACACAAACACCCCTACCACAACCGGCTGGGCCTTCCATTCTGTCTTCGCCCCTCACAAACACCCCCTCCCCCCGCACCTCTGACTTCCAGAATGATGGGGAAGTCATTCCAAGTTGATTAATATTATATTAGTGCTAGGACACGCACTTTGTTTGGGCTTTTGTTTTATTACCATCCCCACCACTATTACTATTACTTAGATATCAGAGAATTAACGTAGTTCATTGAGAGGTGGTTGTTGTATAGCTAGCTGCCTTTCACCCCTAGCTGGTCTGGGTGTCGGCGCTACAGTGAGTGCCATGAATAGTGCAGGGCTCTTGGTGAAGAGGGTGCAAAACGCGTTACAGTGGAGCTGATGGCTTCGCAAGTTTGATTACTGACGACTCCCCTACCCTGTTCTCAGGACATCTTTATAATATTTAAAAGCTACCGACTCCTTTGGAGTAGTGAAAATGATTTCACTGACTCTAAAAAGACACATTCCAGATTTTGCCGCCCCTGCCGCCAGACCGCCCATCTGAACTCATTTTTCTCCAAGAGGTGACAGAGGCTGCATAAAGAAAAGGGATTCCGACCTGCTGTCCCCAGGGATAAGAATCTCAAACTCTCTTGATGGTGGGCGATGGGCGGTAAGTCTTGGTGGTATCCACGGGAGGCCAAATGTGTAGCTTTAGGCCTAAAGGAGTGTCCCATATCTCCCAAGTCCTGGAACCCCTCATTCTTCTATCCCGGAGCAGTATTATCTTACCTGTTCCAGGGCACCAAGCTCCAAGGAGTCTTTGTTAAATCGTAGAATGACTCTCTCCCTTTCATTTAAGTGGGGGGTTTTCGCAGCCAAAAGACTTTGGCATTAACCGCCAACCTTCTTTTCATTTGTGTGTATTCTGCATCAAGGTTCAGTTTTGGGCCCCTCTGTGTTGCTAACCGTGGCAATTCCGAACAGAGACTCGCAGCAGAGGCTAGGGAAGGACAGTTGAGGGAGAAAGCTCCTGGTTTTGCACCTTAACTGGCAAACAGAGGCGGTTGTGTACAAGAGTTCTCAGCTAAGAAGGGAAAGAAGGAACTAGGAGAGAGCCTAGTAACAGCTTGGTTCCCAGGATTCCAAGACAGCTCTTGGTTCTCCTCAGGAAGCGAAAAAAGCACCCGGTCAAAGTGTCCGTCACCCTGAGCCTAAGGAGAGCTGTGGCCTGCGCTGGAACAATGAGTCAGTCCCGCAGAGGTTCAGATGGAACCCATCAGCGCAGCCGGAAGCAGCGGCCATCGAAGCCTTGACCCCTTTCCCTCCACTGTGGGGCCAGAGAGCTTCGCTGCCTCCTAACCAACATGTACAAGAGTGTCAATTAAAAGGATGTGGGCCATAAATCTCGGGGTTTCTCTGTAGGGAACGCGAGACGCCCTCCAGGACTAGAGCTGCCGCCGCAGACACAGAAAAGTGGATTCAAAAAAGGTGGGCAGCACGTAGATCACACTGCAGCTTCCGGCTCTGGGAATCCCCGAAATATCTTGAAGACCAGGAAGAGGTTTAAGGGTCTGGACACTGAGGAGAGCACACCGAGGAAGGTAAGGAAACTGGAAGTATCAGGGCTGTCCACCTCCGCGTGCGTACACACACAAACACACCCGCACGGAGTCGGTGTCAGGACAGGGGAAAGAGAGAATTGAATTAAGCTTAAATTGGAGCTAGGAGAAACGAGAAGGCTTGCAGGAGATGACTGGGAGGGCACCCACGGGACAAGGTCGCCGCAGGAGGGTTCGCCCCCTTACAGTTAGTTCTCTCCAGGTGGTTTGGAACCTGTTTGCTTCTGACAAAGACTTGCGTTGCGTATTGAAAGAAGTACCAGAGAAACGCAGGGGAGAACAATGGATCTGTAGGATAAGCACTGACTTCCAACCACCAGGTCAGGAGTTCCAGCCAACTTGCCTCCCCTCCGGAGAAAGATGAAGCTTTCTGCTCCTGCAAAGATTTACAGCCTCGGAAACCCTCTACGGGGTCGCTTTGTGTTGGAACCTACACTCAGTAAAGGAAACGAAGCAGACATAACTCATGCACCTGCAAAAGCAATAAAAGTAATTTCTCTTTTTCTGTAGGTGAGGAGGTCACAGATACACTTACAGAAGAGCAAATTAAGCCAGTCGTGCCACCCCTGAAATCTGGTTTGCCCCAACTGTCTAAACTGGGGAACAGCCAACTGCACAAAGAGCAAAACGCTAATAAGGCACGGTCCACATTGAGCACGGATTCCTCCAACGAAGGCTGCTCGAGTCTAGGGGAGACAGTTGGGAAGTGCGCCCAGTGTTATCTGGGGTGAAAGAGCTGCGCGAGGTCATCACCACACGGTCCTGGATAAAGCCTTTTCCACCCGCGATATTACAGTTTGTCGCCCCCTATCGGCCTTCAGGCCTGCTCGTGGATTCTGGAGCAGCAGGTTGGGCTGGGATGAGATAGCCTAAGGTGGGATTGCAGAAGGAAACATAGCACCCACAGTCCAGTAAAGCAGTTTGGTGCCCTCCAAAATCTGCGGTCCTCGATGTCGTCTGCGCTAAGGGCGCAGAGGTAGTACTGCATTTTTGTTTGGTGAGTTTGGCATTGCAGATTTGAGCACCCAGACGTAGTGTGCTACTTAGTGAAGAATGACTCCCAGGTTCTTGAGAGCCCCGGAAGTGGGGGCCCAGCAGGACTCCATGCATCCGGCTGGGGTCCAAATCATCAGGGGCGCTGAAAGGATTCTAGTGCCCCCTACCAAGTCGGCTCCGGTACTTGACCCAGGTTTCCCGAGGAAGAGAAATAGGGGAGGTTAACTTAGTTTCAAATGCATAAGACAAAGAAAGAAGAGACAAGAAAAGGTGCCTGCCTTCCTGGGGTCTGAGGATTGGCGACAGGAATGATTGCCAATTGCTGGTAAATCCAGAGCTTGAAAGTTAGGGATGCAGGACAGCCAGGGACTGAGTTACTCTGTTTCTTGGAGAGAAAGTGTTCCCACTTCACGTCTCTTGCGTCGTTTTGAAGTTTGGTGGGGCTGTTTCCGGAAAGTTATTTGATTGCAAACAAAATAGGATTGTTGAGCAGTCGTGGTTCTTTCAGGGACCCAGTTGTCTCAGGCCCCTTAGGGGAAACCTAAACAGATGAAAACCTTATTCTACACTCACTGGGCTGAAAGATCAACTGTGCAGCTGGGCTCGCAGGGGCGCGTTTTGAGTCTGCGGGAGAAAACACAGGCGACATCCCTGAAGGGGCATCCGGTGAGCCCAGCCAGACCAGACTAACTACGTATGAACGGGGAGACTTCCGGCTCTCAGAGCCAAGGAAGGCCCTAGGAGAGCAGGCCCACGCCGGTGTTCTGCTTCTGATGGCTGCGTCTCAGGTCCACTGAGCCCGGTTTCGCGCCCACCTGTGTCCCGAGGCCGACTTAGGCCCTTGCTCTTGCTGCATTTTTAAGAACACGGTGCCATGAGTCATGTGGTTAAAATCAAGTAAACCGAGTTTTTTAAGGTCCTACTTTATAGAAAAGAAAAAAAAAAAAAAAAAAGGAGTGCAGACTGCGGTCACGCTTTATGTGCTGCGAAGTAAGATCGTGTTTATTCCCTAGCCCCTCTCATCAACCCCGAAGCCCCTCAGAATTTGCAGAGGAGATCTTGCACGCACACACACAACCCAAGTTGATAATGGACACGGACACGTGGCTAATTGCAATGACCCACATCAGGCAAACTCAGAATCCAGTAATTTGTGAGAAAGTGTGAAAAACGGCCAGGCTGTTAAACTGGGAAGGTTAAAGGATGTCAAAGGCTGAATAAACCCTTAGCGCTACCAGCCCAGGTCGCCTTGCTAGTCTTCTCTGTCAATGTCGTTGTGTTGCTAAGTGGCATCATGTCTGTTCTGACTAGATCCTGTGTGGGATTTTCAAGGAACGGCTGGTGAGTTTGAACTGCCAACTTTACGGTTCAAACGGGCCTTGCGGTCCAGTGCTAATTTTATAGCGCCACACTAGAGCCCCTACCACAGATATTTGCTGTGCATGTGGGGAGGTGGCATAGTGGGAAAGAGGTGCATCTCTAGAAGCACTTTCGACTCCAGATTGGGACCTTAGGATGCACAGACTCCCCAGACCTTAAGTGGAAACTGACAAGACATATCACTTAAAAACAACCCCAAGAACTCAGAAGCCTTGTTTCTGTTCAGCCTGCTTGTTACCACAGCCTAACTCTGCATTTTACTTGTTAGCTTAGAAATGTTTATTACTGAAAGCTAGAATCTGGTCACTTGTAAGGTGGAATGCTTGACTACACAGGTTTGTGACGGTAAGGAATGTCCTTGAAAATGCAGTTAGATAAGCAAGGGAAAATGTTTCATTTTTCTAAAATGAAATGGAGAAACAAACAGATTTATATTTTCTACGTGATTAACAAAACAAAATTTTCTACGTGATTAACAAAAAAGTAGACAGCTAAGCTTCTGTGGTTAAGTTCAGAGACAAAAGAGAAACTGAAAATGAATGTGCCGTGAAACCCATGCTAAAAATAAATGAGGATATTGAGCAAACGAAGATCTGAGATATTCTCTACCAGGAGGTGCAGGAATACTAGCATTGTATTATATATAACTCCTTTCCACCTAGAACCACTTTAATAATGCAGCATTCGGGTTAGAAAGATATACTAAAGGCACCTGGTAACATTTGCAGGAAGAGGCACTTTCTTCTGTGTATGTCTTCCTCGTGACTGCACAATTCAGGGTTCATGCCCAATTGGACATATAGAAGAAGCCTCAATTTCC